CCGTATATGGAGTTGTTTACGACAAAAAAAAGAGAACTCGAAAAAGTCAGCGTTCTAATTTTTTAACTGTAATGTCATATGCAGCTGTACGGCTTTTCTTTTGGAGTTATACCTAAATTATATATAAAATAATAGTATAATACCCGTCAATTTTTAAACCTTACTCCGAACTGTATGTTTAGTTAATCGAGGTACGAATCGAATTCTATAATCGCTAACTTTTTGTTGCTCAAAATTCGCTCGAAATGTGAAATATTGCTCAAATGTTGCCCAAAGTGCGAAAAAGTGCTCAACGTTGCTCAACATGCAAAATGGTGCTCCAAACAAAAAAAAGTGCTCAAAAAGTGCGAAGCGCAATCGGGAATTAAGGCCTACTATTAAATTAACTCTATATAAAGGTCGCGGGGCAAATCGCTTATTTAAATAACGTGCCTTCAGGCACCAAAAAGGCTCAGTTCAGTAAATAGAACATGCCATGGTCGTTGCTAAAGGGGATGGACCATGCACGAGAGAGGGTTTTCAAGATAGCCATTGGCTTTCATGCAAGATCGTTAAAACTACTACCAACAACCAGGCACTTTTTCAGCCCGGACTGACTTTCATCCCGGTTTCCTAGGCTGAAATTTCAGTCCAGCCTAAGCTAAGGATAAAATCCTATATTAAAACACAGCAAGCGATTGTATACATGACAGAAATGTCAGCCCGGGATGAAGCTACCCGGGTTGAAATTTCATCCCAGTTATAACCGCTGGATTCAATCCGGGTTGAAAAAACAGCATTTAAGTGGCTTTATTTTATTATTATTAATCTTATTTAAAACACGGTAGCCTTTTTGTAAAACACGGTAGCCGGACTTGGCAAAAGCCACAATTTTCTGGAGAAACCCATCTTAATAGTCATTTGCAAATTGAACTCTTCATTGACTCTCACGTCCGTGAACTAAGAAAGCGTGGATGCCGTGTTACTTCACTGTCAAACGAAGAGGACGAGAAAGCAATACTAGATGGAGAGTTTACATTCGCATTTTGTAATCCCGAGTCTATTATTCGAAATGGAGAGGAATGGTTTCATTTGAAATCTACAAGACAAATTTGCTTGCATTTGTATTAACAGACAAAGTTCACGTCGGCCCAAAGAGGTGTGTTTAATAAATTTAAAGGTAGGTTACAGTCCCTTCTGCGCATGCGCGGGCTTTGTTTACGTTTTTGTTTTGATCCACATTAATTATATAAGATGAAGTATATGACGAGTTCAAAGTAACATTCCACATAATTTGTGACTGAGGAGTGCAATGTTTGACAATACTTCGCTTCATTTTTTGTACGATTCTACACTGGAAATTTTTGTACACAATAACACAATCTTATACTGTAACCGTTTAACTGTAAACATCGTGAATAAAGTTATAAAGAGGCCGCTTTAAACGTTGTGTGACTTGCTATATCAACAGCTGGGGCGGCGAACCGAAATCCCGAAGGTGTGAGTTCGAATAATTTGTGTTTACCTTTGGAGTGTCTCATCATGAAAACATTTAATGCGGTATCAATCCCTCGAAACATGTTGCCAGTGTTGTTGTTGTCATTATGACAGAAGCGCTCGGCCTTGGGGGAAGCTTTTCGCTTGACGAAATTCGAAACAAGTGTGATTGAGAATGTGGTTGCAGTTCCTGTCTTCGTGGCAATTAAAAGCCAAGGGTAAGGGCGAAATTTTTGACCGTGCTTTTGCTGGATAAACAGCTTTTGTTCAAGCTCGTGCGCGCTATGGAGATGATTTCGTTATAAACAACAGAAGAGTTCAATAGATTGACAGTGACGAGACGCTATAAATGTATCGATCAATTCGAAACTTCACCATCCCCCCCCCCCGGGCATACCCCGGGAATTTGACTTCAAGTCTTCTCCAGGGAGTAGGGAATTTGACGTTCTAGGTCTTCCATGTGGTGGGCACTGAGCTATGGTGGTGGGGCATTTGATAACGGGGTGGGGAATTTGAACCGGAAGTCTTAAAATTTTGCCCGTTTTCGCGTGCTTCCTGCATGCACAGAAAATACTTCGCATTGGCGGCAAATAGTATACAGTTTTCTCAGATTTCGAGGGAAACGGCCTCTATTTTGTGAAAAACTGGCTCAAAGAAACGGGCGTGGAAAATCTATGTGCTTCACTTGAAGGTATGTACTACATAATTGTGTAAAACTGTTAAATTTCCACAAGGTATCCAAACTTTTTACGTGAATTTCGCTATCTTGTCGAAAAACATTTCCGTATATTTTGTACTTTTTGTATTTACTGTTTCATAATTTTCATATGAAGGTGGGGCATTTGAACGCTTAATTTCTTGTTACAGTGGGGCATTTGAAGACATTTTTTGCACAGGGGGTGGAGAATTTGATCAGTCAAATTTCAAAAAGTTCAAATTCCCGGGGTCGGCCCGGGGGGGGGGGATGGTGAAGTTTCGAATTGATCGATACATAAGATTATATTCAATTTTTTTGTGTTATAAAAATGTATGTTTTGAAATTATGAACTGTAAGTATGAATTCATTGATATTACTCTCATATTGACTCTAACTGATGATGATATTCTTGTGACACTGAATGATCTAATAGTAATATTAACTTAAACAATTCTGGTCAATCTAGTGATTACGTTAGTTCATCATGTCTCTTCAAGACAGAGGACAATTGCTCAATATATGCTTGTTTCGCTGTATATCAGAGCTCATCAGAATGCTCAGGAAACACTGATGAAATTTTTATTTACATCAACGAATCAGTCTTTCTTTTTCTTAACAGATTTATTGGGTTATATGATAGTACAAATAATTTATAAACAATTATTATTAAAACACATATATCCAAGGGGATAGGCATGAATATGACTCAAGGGCTTGTGCCCCCTGAAAGTACTGAATATACTTATCAGTTATAGACCTTTCACTCGGGGTATTCCACAAAAAATTACCCTGAGGGATGAAATATTCCGAGGGCGAAGCCCGAGGAATATTTCATCCCGCAGGGTAATTTTTTGTGGAATACCCCGAGTGAAAGGTCTATAAATGGTATATTATACCGAACCTTTCAAAAATAAGTAGAAAACAAATACCATTCAATTAACTTTTAATTTCAAAACACAACTTTTGATAACTTTACATTTAAAAGTCGAATTTCCCGCTCAAGCGTGGTATTCGAAGTCGAATACCATGGCCCCGGGTAAAACACCCAGGGTTCAAATTGCCTAGGTCATAGTATTCGCTGAAAAATACCATGGTCATGTGGTACAAATTTAGTTTTCTGATTGGACAAGCTCATTGTGAGGTATAATATTAAATATAATTACATGCAGTTTGTGACATGAATTCAGGTAAGCACCACTCACATAAGAACCTGTTTAGGCTAACTTGGAAAAAATCTAGGTTCTTATTATATGCATGGTTTTACTGTGTTGTCTGATTTCATGTCACAAAACAGGCCATGGGCATGGCAGCTTGTTCTGACAACATATACAGTGTGTATCAAAATAATTCGAATCCAAATTTGGTGTGTAATAACGCAAAATGTATTTGACAAATTCGGTTGGTTTTTACACCATTGTTAAGTTCATTTATTTACCTTTCAAATGACATGTTGTACGCGTCATTTAGTTGGAAAATGAAGGAGTATTGCTTTGACAAAAAAAGTCCATAAAAATCACAATGTTCCGCCGATGGGAATTGGACATTTTTTCTTTCAAAGTTAGTCCCACAAGGCTTTGAAATGCTAATCATCACTGAAAACTAAAATGCAAATTTAACGCGAATTTCTTCTTGTTCAACATGTTGAAGGCATAGGAGCTTTTAAAAATCTCTTTAAATGAACACGAATTTATGTAAATTTTGCTACATAACAGTTTGTTGATTAATTAAATTTGCATTATCTTTTGTCTGTACGTCTCACTTCGAATTCCCATCGGCGGAAAAATTTGATTTCGAGCAACCAGTTTTAACACACGATTTCTTGGTCATTTTTGGTCTTATTGATATAAGAACGATATAATCGAAAACCTAATAGGCTATTCTTTATTGCCATATACAAATTATATGGTTTACTTTAGTATTTTATAAACAGCAGTCTGTCAAATTTGGATTCGAATTATTTTGATACACACTGTACTGTATATGGGATTGTGCCACTTTTTGTGACACAAATCAGCCAATCATAGTACAATATGAACTGGCTTGTGTTTCAGATTGCTTTGTGTAGTTGGCAATCCATTTAGGAGAAAGAAAGCTCGGATTTCAAACCCCCAGACCCACCTTGGACAATACATGTAGTGACTACATGATCATTCGAGCTTGGAAATTGGGTTAAATTCTTAAAGAAAAGCGACTCATTTTTGGTATGTGAGGTATAATTTACATGTATATACATATATGTAAATTGTGCACAAATTATCTAACTAATAGCTATGTGTATAGCTATACTGTAAAACTGCTAACACTTTATTTATCTCAATGACATTTTCATGCAGTGTTCTGGATCATTTTCATTACTTTGTGAAGAGTTTATTTTCTTTGATTTATATACATTTTTAGTCTTCATGTGATAAAATAAGAACCTGAAATGCTAGAACCTTTAAACCTTACACCTTTAAACCTTACACCAAAGTGTGTTTAGTTAATCGAACTACGAATCAAATTTTATAATTGCTGACTTTTTAACAGCTATCAGCACCAAAAAATTCTTACTTTGCTGAATTAACGTCGGCAAAAATTCGCCGGCCTGGGAGGTCGATAGGTCGGTATTTAGGTCGGCATTGGGCTATTCCATTTAATATCCGTACCCCCCCCCCCTGTCGAGGATCCCTGGAATTCTTCAGGGGTAAAGGGTTTTGAGCTTGGAATTCTTCAGGGGTAAAGGATTTTGAGCTTGGAATTCTTCAGGGGTAAAGTGTTTTGAGTTTGGAATTCTTCAGGGGTAAAGGGAGCTTGGAATTCTTCAGAGCTTGGAATTCTTCAGGGGTAAAGAGGTTTGAGATTGAAATTTTTCAGAGCTTGGAATTCTTCAGGGGTAAAGGGTTTTGAGCTTGGAATTCTGCAGGGGTAAAAGGTTTTGAGTTTGGAATTCCTCAGGGATAAAGGGTTTTGACCTTGTAATTCTTCAGGGCTAAAGGGTTTTGAGCTTGGAATTCTTCAGGGTTAAAAGGTTTTGAGCTTGGAATTCTTCAGGGGTAAAGGGTTTTGAGCTTGGAATTCTTCAGGGGTAAAGAGGTTTGAGATTGAAATTTTTC